AGAATGATGGTTTTGAGCATTCCCAAGCTCAAAAGTTCATCAAACACAGTGTCCCTGATATAGTATTCCAGGGATTTCTGAGAGTGTTTGGGTGAATTCTGAAGACATCTGAGTGTTTGTGTCTTTTCCTAGATTTTGCTTAAACCCTGGAACTTGCCTATTTGAAGTTTTCTGTCTGTGATGCTCATTTGTTCTGTTATCCTTTCTTTTCACATCTCACATGCCCTTGAATGGAGAATCTGGTGCTGTCCTCTCGTGCTGCAACATGTAGATTACAACATTTAGGGACAGGTTTTTCTATTAGGTTATAACTTGGGTAGAAAAACAAAGGGTAAATTCCTTCTAAAATTATTAACTATCATACTAAGAAATGAGGATGCTTGAGAATAGCAGAAAAAGTTTGGCAACCCCCCAAAAAAGATATTTGTCAAATTCTATTTCAATCTTTTTGACCAATATTTTTAGAGTCTTTTTTGGGGGGCGGGGGGGGGTTGCTGAGGATTGAACCCAGGGCCTGTGCATGCAAGGCAAGCACTCTACCAACTGAGCTATATCCCCAGCCCTGACCAATATTTTTAGGATGTTAAAAAGAAAAATCATAATAGCACCAAGGACGGGGAGTGGGGAGACACAGCAAGCTCAGGCCTAATGTATACCTTTGTGTGCAACTGGTGCCTCCTTAATTAGTTCATTTCTTGCCTGTGCACACTTAACTTTTTAATTTATCCTCCTCATAAAATTGTTTGGAATAAAAATCCAGACTGGACAACCAAAGCCCCTAACTTTCCCAAGCTGCCCCTCTCTGTGTAGAGCGGTACGCACAGCCGGACCCAGGGGCTGGTCTGGATTTGTTGAAGGCATCCCAGGGGAGTCATTCTGAGGGAAAGCAGATGGTGAGCTGCTCTAAATTTTAAGGAAATGCCAAAATGCCTGTCTTTTCAGCCCCAGGGCTCCTTAGCAATAATAATAAATTTAGGGTCTTAAACATGAAAACAATAAAAAAAAATTCTGAAAATTAACAAACTTCACATTTGTGAAAGATTCTTTGTCCCTAAGTGTACAGATTTTGCAGTAAATCAGTGTTGGGTATGTAAATAGTCACTGATCTGTCACCCTAAGATGACAGGTACTTTAGGTATTACCTCAGGTCTGGGCCATAGCCAAATTAGTAGGAGTGAGGGAGGAGAGTGGCCCTCACATAGTTGCAGTTAGACCAAGAGTAAGTTCCAGTGTTCCATTACACAGTGGGGGTGACTATATAGTCAATAATAATGTATATTTCAAAATAGATAGAAAAGAGAATTTTGAATCTTCAAGTAAACAATAAATATTTGAGTTGAAGGATATACTATCCTGATTTGATAATTATATGATACACGTACATATGGAAACATCACATTGTACCTATAAAGTGTATAATCATATGTTGATTAAAAATAAAGTAAAGCTGGGCACAGCATCACACATGAGTAATCCCAGCCACTCAGGTAGCAAGACTGAAGGATCACAAGTTCAAGGCCAGCCTGGGCAACATTGCAAGACCCTCATTGTTATGGTTTAGATGTGTTGTTCCCCAAAAGCTCACGTGTGAGACAATGCAAGAAGATTTGGAGGAGAAATGATGGGGTTATAGCATTAATCTAATCAGTGAATTAATCCCTGGTGGAATTAACTGAGTAGTAACTGGAGGCAGGTGTGGCTTGAGGAAGTAGTTCATGGGAGCGTGGCGTGGCCATGGGTATATATTCTGTATCTGGAGAGTGGAGTGTCTCTCTCTCTGCTTTCTGATCACCATGTGAGCTGGTTCCCTCTGCCACACTGTTCCACCATGATGTCCTACCTCACCTTGATCCCCAAGGAATGGAGCCATCCACTTATGGACTGAGACTTCTAAACCATGAGCCCCTTCAATGAACCTTTCCTCCATTTAATTCGTTCTGATTGGGTCTTTCAGTGGCAGCAGCAAAAAAAAAAAAAAAAAATACTGACTAAAAAGAACTGGAGATGTATGTAGCTCAGTGGTATAGCACCCCTGGATTCAATCCCCAGTAAAAATAAATAATTAATTATTAATAATAAAAGACTCAGTGGTAATGCAAATACTTGGCATAAGTAAGGTCCTGGGAACAATCCTGAACAACACTAAAAAGAAAAAGAAAAGAACTCATTGTAATGTAACTAATTTTAAAGTATAAATTTTGTGATCTAACCTTGTCCCTGCCTCCATCCCCCTTTTCATATCCTTAATTTAATTTACTATAAATTAACAAACTACAATTGCATGCATGGTGGGGTACAAAGTGATATTCATAAACACAATGTGCAAGGATTAAATCAAGCTGATTAACTCATCATCCATCACCTCAAATAATTATCAGTTTTTGGACTAAATACATCCAAAATTACTCTCAGCAATTTTGAAATTTACAATACACTGTTATTAACCATGCTGTATAATATATCTCAAAAAATGTATGTCTCCTGACTAAACTTTGTACTCTTGACCAACATCGTCTAATTCCTCCCACCCCCGCAGCCTCTGCTGGTAGCCACTCTCTGCTTCTATGAATTCCATTGTTAAAGACTCCACATGTAGGTGAGATCACATGTCATCCTTAATTTCTCTTCATTAAAAACATAGATTTTTGGCTGGGCATGGTGGTGTACCCCTGTAATCTCAGCAACTCAGGAGGCTTAGACAGGAGGATCATGAGTTTAAAGTCATTCTCAGTAACTTAGTGAGGCACTAAGCAACCTAGGAGGACTTTGTCTCTAAATAAAATATTTTTTAAAAAATGAACTGGAGATGTGACTCTGTGGTTAAGCACCCCTGAGTTCAATCCCCTGTACCCGCCCCCCAAAATTAAATCTTGTATTTAAAAAGGTTAACAGTAAGACGTTTAAGCTTTATTTTAGAAAAATATGAGAAAATGAAGAGAGGATCACATACCACAATCATGTTCCAGATGATACAAAAATTCTGTATAAAGCTAGAGCTAGAGCTACAGACCCCAACCTGAGGAGATACATCCTAAAGGTTTATTGTGTAAGTTATTGTTCAGAGCTCAGGATTCATTTTTGTATGGAAACAACAGTTCAAATTACTGAACTCACAAATAAGACAGGAAAAGTCAACTCCTTTTTGAATGTGAAGGACAGAACTCTTGGTTTTATGTCAAGTTCAACTAACCACCCTTCAGAGCCTGGTCCTGATGGAAAGATATATTTCCCGTTGCTCAAGTTCCAACTCGAAATGCCAGGTACATTCTATGCCCACCTCTCTTACACTCATTCTTTGAAACTTTTAGCAGAAATGCCAGGGCCTTTCCTCATAACATGAACTAGAGTTCAGGTCTCCTGTCCCCCAAATTCTTTCCAGAAGCTGTCCCTTGATACTGCATAAAAGGAAATATTTGGATCCATCATTCTTGGGATGTATGCATTGGGAAAAGGAGGTGTTGCCTCCACAGGAAACAGTCGATAGGTTCAGACCTCTTCTGTTTGATGGTTCATATGTTAAAGTGGATAGTGTGGTAGAAAGAGCACTGGACTGTGAGTCAACAAACCTGAGTTTGAATCTTGACTATTAAAATTACCTAAGTAACCTTGGATGGTTGACATTGCATGTCCACATTTGCATGTATGTGAAAATAATAAATAGGACTAGGGATGTAGCTCAGGGGTAGAGAGCTTGCCTAGCACACATAAGGTCTTGAGTTCAATCCCCAGCACCAAAATAATAATAATCATCATTAATAAACAGGATAGGATTGGGGTGTGGCTAGCAAGCACAAGACCCTAGGTTTGTTCCCATCGTTGAAGAAATGAATACGTACTTGCAAAGAATGTCATTTTTTTGCCCCTGTCCTGCTGAGGATTAGAACCCAGGGCTTTGAACATGCCAGGCGAGTGCTCTATCACGGAACTACATCCCAGCCTCAGGGTGTTAAGATTTCTAAGGAGAGATTTTATAGCCCTCAAGAGAATTTCAAAGGAATCTATCACCACTACCAGTCCCAAAATTAAGAATCTGGACAACATGATCTACTGAATATTTTTGTCCCTCAAACTTCAAATGAGTGCTGTCTGTATATTCATGACTTACTCAACACCAAGTACAAGGACCCTCCTCCAAATCAGCAGCCATCATCCTGCCCACTAATTAAACAATAAACAGAAGGACAATTAATGATTTTAGAAACTTTTTACATGATTTCTTATTCTCTGAAAATCTTTCTCTTGCTGTAATTAAAGATCTGTCATCCCCAATCTGCAGTTTCCAGCGGAGTCTGCCTAATTTGGACTAATTAGATAACACATAGGCCTTCACTTTGTCTTACAGGCTTTTTCCCCCATATCCTCAAGCAAGTCATCTTTCTGCTTCAAATTCTGGGGTTCTTGTTTGTTTTTGTTACTGGGGATTGAACCCAAGGTCACCTTACCACTGAAGATTCATCTCTAGTCCTTTTTTAATTTTGAGACAGGGCCTTGCTGACTTGCTGAGGCTGTCCTTGAACTTGCGATCCTCCTGCCTCAGTTTCCTGAGTTGCTGGAATTATAGGTGTGCACCATTATACCTAGCTCCTGCTTCAATTTACTTGACATAGTCCTTGTCCTTTAGTGTTCCTGACCAGATGGGGGCACATGCCTGTAATCCCAGCAACTCAGGAGACTGAGGCAGCAGGATTGCAAGTGTGAGTCCCTAAGCAACTTAATGAGACAGTCTCAGTGGCTCAATGGATAAGGACCCCTTGGTTCAATCCCCAGTACCAGGGGCGGGAAATGGAAAAGAAAGTCTAGAGATGTAGCTCAGTGGTAGAGCGCTTGCTTGTCATGTGCCAGACTCTGCATTTGATACCCAGCACACACACAAATACTACTACTACTACTACTACTAATAATAATAATAATAATAATAATAATAATAATAAAGGAAGGAAGAAGGAAGAAAGGGAAACTAAGGTTCAATCTAATAACTTGGAATTTTTTTTTTCTTTCAGGAAAAGGAGGATCGGATTGCTTGTCCTGTGTGTGGAACTACCACCTCATGGGTGGAATCTGCAACTCCGACTGTCTTGTGGGAAAATACAGAGTGGGAGAGGTACTGGAGAGCTGGGGCAGTGTGCTTTCTGCCATATATATATATATATATATATATATATATATATATATATATATATATTTATATTTGTACCAGGGATTTAACCCAGGGGCACTTAACTGAGCCACATTCCCAGCCCTTTTTATGTTTTATTTTGAGACAGGTTCTCACTAAGTTGCTTGGGGCCTTGCTAAGTTGCTGAGGCTGGCTTTAAACTCACAATCCTCCTGCCTCAGCTTCCTGAATCGCTAGGATTATAGGTGTGTACCACCATACCTGGCTTTCTGCCCTTTTTAGAGAGAATGTGAACTCAGTTTCTGCATATCATTCTGGGCAGTCAAAAAGTTCTAAAATTCCTACATTTACTATAATTTAGACCCAACATTGTGAAATCCTTCATGACATCATGAAATAATGGTGCTATTCACCTGTAGCCTTTATGTAAAGCACAGAAATCTAGAAGATCTAAGATAAATAATGAGATGTTAAGTAATGAGGACCTCAGAATGAACCCTACATCTGTTATTCATGACCACAGAAGTTTCAGTCTTTGTAAGACTATTACGTCAGAAATACAAAATCTCTTTTTTTTTTGAGAAGATGGCGGCGAGGGGAGTGCATTACCCCCGTGTGCTGCTTCACTGTGTGGGAGTATGACAAGTCAGGACGGCTAAAGGATATCTTTTTAGGAATTTCCAGCAATAGTGGGGTGCGCTGGAACCTGGAGGAAGGATTTCCATCGCACGAGGATCGGCTACGGGGACTCAAACGCGAGAGGTTTGTCGCACGGAGGGTAACACTGCTTATTCAGCAAATCGCCCCGCGGCTAGAGTCTGCAACGCGCGCTGGGATAGAGACGCAGGGTTACAGTGCTGCAGTTTCTGCCAGCCGCGCAAGCACCGCACTCAGGGCTGAATTCTGGGTTCGAGACGGGGGAAGGAAGCGGTCCATCTGGGTTCTCCACACCGGTCAGACCACAGAGGAGGCCAGCAGCCACCATGTTGGTAAACTGACGTCACCATACCTGTTTTCGACTGACCGCAGCTCATTCAGCCATAGAACAGGTAATTTCAGGCTGCAATTCGCCTGCGGCTTGCAGACAGATTGCTAGGGTTCAGCGCCTGGGTGCTTCTTAGAATCTGATCTTATCGGAGTGAACACCGAGCGCGGGGCGGCCGAGTTCCGGCTCCCGGAACCGTCCCGGAACCGCCCTGGCTCAGGGCTGCGGAGCCTGCGGAGGCTGCTTCTTGGACCCTGCTACTATCAGAGCAAACACCAAGCACTAAGCAGCCGAATTCCGGCTCCCGGAACTGAGCCCGCGGGGGCTGCTTCTTGGAGCTTACACTTATAGGAGCTTACACCGAGCACGGAGCGGCCGAGTTCCGGCTCACTGAACCGTCCCGGAACTGCCCTGGCTCAGGGCTGCGTAGCCTGCGGAGGCTGCTTCTTGGACCCTGCTCCTATCAGAGCAAACACCAAGCACTAAGCAGCCGAATTCCGGCTCCCGGAACTGAGCCTGCGGGGGCTGCTTCTTGGAGCTTACACTTATAGGAACTTACACCGAGCACGGAGCGGCCGAGTTCCAGCTCCCGGAACTTCCCTGGACTGGGGCTAGGAGCCCGCGGAAACTGCGTCTCGGTCCGGGTCCTGCTGAGGGCCGGTCAGGACTCACCCGTTGCTTGGGTTGCCCAGCAAGGGGAACGAAATGCTGCCATTCGCATAGGATACCAACATGGGAGAGATCTGATGTCAGCAGAAAGCGGTGGAGGAGAGATCTTCATCAATACCAGCGGTGACATAAGCAGTTGGTCTCCTGGTAAGGGGGGTGAGGCTCAGTCACCCGAGTCTCCTCAATTTGTCCTCGAGCCAGAGGGGAGGAGCCGGGCCGCCGCCAGCCCCCGGAGCAGGCCCAGCGGCTCGCCAGCGTGGTGACCGCGTGACCCCAATTGGAGAGGGGGCGGAGCTGAGCCGCCACCCACACCCGCCAGGTGGGCAGACCCACGACCCAGTAGTACATGGGCGTGGTAGGAGGGGCAGGGCAGAGCCGCCCTTCGCGCTTGCAAGGTAAACAGACCTGTGACAGCCTGGCGGGTCAGGCCCAGTGGCCTGCCAGTGTGGTACACACGTCACCCCAACTGGAGTAGGGGCAGAGCAGATCCTTCTCCCACACCCGGATCAGGCCCTGCCGGTGTGGTGGTCACGTGACCCCAATTGGAGTGTGGGCGGAGCGGAACCGCCACCCGTGCCCGCAGGGTGAGCAGACCAGTGATCAACCTACAGATCAGGCCCAGGGGTCCGCAGGCGTGGTAGGAGGGGCAGGGCAGATCCGCCGCCCGTGCCTTCAAGGTAGGCAGACCTACAACAGACCGGCGGATCAGGCCCAGGAGCCTACCGGCGTGGTACAAACACCACCCTAATTGGAGTAGTGGCAGAGCAGAGTCACCTCCCTTGCCAGGAACAGGCCCAGCGTCCTGCAGGCGGGGTAGTCACGACACCCCAATTGGAGTAGGGGCAGAGCAGAGCCTCCACCCGTGCCCGAAAGGTGGGCAGATCTGCGACCGACCAGCGGGACAGGCCCAGTGGCCTGCCGGTACGACAGACACATCACCCGATTTGGAGTAGGGGCAGAGTAGAGCTGCCGCCCGCGCCTGCAGGGTAGACAAACCTGCAACCTACTGGCGGATCAGGCCCGGTGGCCTGCCGGCGTGGTACACTCGTCACCCCAATTGGAGTAGGGGCAGAACAGAGCCGCCGCCAGCTCCCAGAACAGGCCCAGCGACCTGCGGGCGTGGTAGCCATGACACCCAAATTGGAATAAGGAGAGAGCAGAGCTGCCGCCCGCACCTGCAGGAAAGACACGCAAGCAGTATGAAAAGACAAGGAAAGAAAGGACCACAAGCAATGCAGGTCAACGCAACTTTAGAAGAGGTAACAGCTGCAGCAGATGGAATGTCAGATAAAGAATTCAGGATATACATGCTTCAGATGATCTGGAGTCTCAAGGAAGACATTAAACAGCAAAATCAGACAATGAAAGATCACTTCGACAACGAATTACGCAAACAAATCCAGGAAGCAAAGGATCAACTATACAGGGAGATAGAGGTTATAAAAAACAAGCAATCAGAAATCCTAGAAATGCAGGAAGCAATAAACCAACTTAAAAACTCAATGGAGAATACTACCAGCAGAGTAGAACACTTAGAAGATAGAACATCAGACAATGAAGACAAAGTATTTCAACTGGAAAAGAACATAGACAGCTCAGCAAGACTGTTAAGAAACCATGAGCAGAACATCCAAGAAATATGGGATAACATTAAGAGACCAAACTTAAGAGTCATTGGGATACAGGAAGGTACAGAGCTCCAAACCAAAGGAATGAGCAGTCTATTCAATGAAATAATACAAGAAAACTTCCCAGACTTGAAGAATGAGACAGAATCCCAAATCCTAGAAGCCTACAGGACGCCGAATGTGCAAAATCATAAGAGATCCACACCTGGACACATTATAATGAAGATGCCCAACATACAGAATAAGGAGAGAATTTTAAAAGCTATAAGAGAAAGGAAGCAGATTACATTTAGGGGTAAGCCAATCAGGATAACAGCTGATCTTTCAACACAGACTCTGAAAGCTAGAAGATCCTGGAATAACATATTTCAAACACTGAAAGAAAATGGGTTCCAACCAAGAATTGTGTATCCAGCGAAATTAAGCTTCAGGATGGAGGATGAAATTAAAACCTTCCACGATAAACAAAAGTTTAAAGAATTCGCAGCTAGAAAACCATCTCTTCAAAACATCCTCGCCAAAGCATTACAGGAAGAGGAAATGGAAAATAACAATGAAAACCAACAGTGGGAGGTAGGACAGTAAAGGGGGGGGAAATAATCAAAGAGGAAAACAAACCATGTTTAGTAACAGAAATAAACAAATATGGCTGGAAGAACAACCCATATCTCAATAATAACCCTAAATGTTAATGGCTTAAACTCACCAATTAAGAGACACAGGCTAGTAGAATGGATCACAAAACAAGACCCAACAATATGCTGCCTATAGGAGACGCATTTGATAGGAAAAGACATACATAGGCTGAAGGTGAAAGGTTGGGAAAAATCATATCACTCATATGGACTTCGGAAACAAGCAGGCGTGTCCATACTCATATCAAATAAAATAGATTTCAAGCCAAAGTTAATCAAAAGCGATAAAGAGGGACACTACATACTGCTTAAGGGAACCATACACCAACAAGACATAACAATCATAAATATTTATGCCCCAAACAATGGTGCAGCTATGTTCGTCAAACAAACTCTTCTCAAGTTCAAGAGTCTAATAGACCACCACACCATAATCATGGGAGACTTCAACACACCTCTCTCGCCACTGGACAGATCTTCCAAACAAAAGTTGAATAAGGAAACTATAGAACTCAATAACACTATTAATAACCTAGACCTAATTGACATATATAGAGTATACCACCCAACATCAAGCAGTTACACTTTTTTCTCAGCAGCACATGGATCCTTCTCAAAAATAGATCATATATTATGTCACAGGGAAACTCTTAGACAATATAAAGGAGTAGAGATAATACCATGCATCTTATCTGATCATAATGGAATGAAACTGAAAATCAACGATAAAAGAAGGAAGGAAAAAGCATACATCAATTGGAGAATGAACAATAGGTTACTGAATGATCAATGGGTTATAGAAGACATCAAGGAGGAAATTAAAAAATTCTTAGAGATAAATGAAAACACAGACACAACATATCGGAATCTATGGGACACATTGAAAGCAGTTCTAAGAGGAAAATTCATTGCTTGGAGTTCATTCCTTAAAAAAAGAAAAAACCAACAAATAAATGATCTCATACTTCATCTCAAAATACTTGAAAAAGAAGAGCAAAACAACAGCAAAAGAAGTAGAAGGCAAGAAATAATTAAAATCAGAGCTGAAATTAATGAAATCGAAACAAA